TAAGTGCGATCCCGGATACTTGGTCAACGCATCCGCTGGGTTCAGGTTGTGTGGAACCCACCGGGGACGGGATTTGCACACTTGCAAACTTTCCTTGATCACAGCAATCTCTAAATTGGATCGCTCGCACTCACCCGCCTGATCATTCAGAAGCCCGTCGTAGAGCGCCTTGGCATCGATCACCACCACACTTCGAGGATCGCGGAAGAGGTCGGACTCGTTGGAGATCACGGTGGAGCGGCCCTGCAGCTCCAGGACCTCTTCTTCCTGACGTTGTCGCTGACGGGGGTCGTAGGAGGAGAGGCGTACTGCATCCCACAGAGCATCTTGCTTTTCCAGACATCCCGTTGCTGCCGACAAAGACAAAGCTTCACACAGCATGGAACTTGAGGCTTTACGTCTCAACCGTCTGGAGCGCCACAGCATGAGGCTCACCGGTGCCGGCTTTCCCAGGTTCAGGTCCGGGGTGCTGAAGCCGAGCAGGTAGCCGTGCTGGGACTTTTCTTTCCCTGATGTGTCAAACGAGGCGTCAGCGATGAGCACATTCCGCACCTGTACTTCTGGAATCGCGTGGATGCGAAGCTTCACCGGGTGTTGCTTCAGCTGCCGCACAACCTCGTTTGCCAGGTAGATAGTCTCCACAGTCGGTTCTGGAAACGCCGCAGCAAGTATGGAACTTGCTGCTGCAGCGTCCGGACGCCCCTCACGTCCAACCCATGTGAGGGTTGCCAGCACACCGCGCAGCTGTGATTTCTCCGAGTCGTCAAGGAAACACTGAGCGGCGTCTTTCTTGAGGACCTTTCTCGAGAGGGAGATCGGTGACATCCTCGAGTAGATATACTCGTCCATGTGGAGCTCGAAGCTGAAGTCAGGCAGCTGCTTGAGGGACTTTCCAGCGTAGCTCGACTCCTGCTGCTGCAGGTTGATGGCCTTGCCGAAGGTGATGGAGCCCTCCAGGTCGGTCATCAGTTGCCTGTGCCTTGCGTCTCCACCCTCGATCACGTCGTCGACCTCGATCACCATGACGCCTTGGGTGCTCTGTGACGGTTCGGTCGATGGCAGCACCAACACACACGGCTCATACGGGCATGTCTTGTACCCGAGCTTGCCGGTCTTTTGCAGGAAGCTGGATCGCCACCAGCTAGGCCCGGAGACCAACCCATACACTTCAGTGAGAAGTAAAATGAGTTGCCGTGGGTCCAGGTAGGGCAGCGGTTCGTCACGCGGCTGATTGCAAGCAAGTGGGATCTTGCGATCGGTAGGCCGAGATTGAAGAAACGCTGTTTTCACGTCTTTGACCACAGCCGCCCAGCGTCTGCTCGCGCACAACTGCAACACCGTGTTCACCGCCGCACTCGAAGGGGTAGGAGCGGATCGTTCGATCTGGTGAACATGTGGATCGGCCCATCCCACGACACACCAACGAGACTTTGGTTGGCTTCGGTCCTCGGTCAACTGAAGTGGAGTAAGGTCGCCATTCTCGACCGCCGCCTTCTTGGCATTCTCAATGTCCTTGGACGCCAAGGCTATGGGCTTGTAGCGGTCAACGAACCGAGACTCTAGAACGTGGTCGGGGTGCATCTGGCGGAACTCCTCGGATTCCTTGACGGAGAGCACACGAATCGCCTTGTTGCTCAGGAGGGAGTCGAACTCCTTGGCTCGGCTCTTGGCAAACAGTTTACGCTCTGCACCTTGAAGCCTCGAGTACTCGACCTGGCCGAAGGAAGTTTTCGCCTTTGCCAGGTACATGCACTTGTCTCGCTCACAGTAACTCGCCTCTGCCGCACTGGCCTGAAACAAGCTGGTTGGCTTAGAGGGTTCAAGGTGATTGCGCCCAGTCGTGAGCCGCTTGACCCATTTCGGCCCTGAGCAGGTAAGGTAGGAGACTCCCGGCACCTCGACATCGTCGAACTGGAAAACCTCGAGGTAGTTCGACGGCTTGATCTCCGCAGTCAAAAAACTCTCCTTGGCATAGTAAGGGTGGTGAACTGGAGGCCCAACTCGTTCACGGACCGGTCCAAGGAGAAGTGGTGCTGCGCTTCCTTCATCCACACGTACCGCTCGTTGAGGACCATGCTGCATCGAGGGAACTGAGCTTACACTCTGGCGTCTGCTACCCGGAGGTTCGGAAAGGGCGGCTGGCTCGCTCCGAAGATCGCCAGCCGTGGTGGTCACATCCTCCGAGTCCCTTTCAGCATCTCGCAGGTCACCCTGTGGTAGATTACGTGGTCCTAAAGCTTGTGGTAGATCACGTGGTTCTGAGGCTTGCGGTAGATCACGTGGTTCTGAAGCTTGTGGTAGATCATGTGGTTCTGAGGCTTGTGGTAGATCATGTGGTTCTGAGGTTTGTGGTAGATCCATCTCGGTGTCACCAAACAGCTCTGGGAAGAGTTCCTCCTGATGCGCGGGAGGATGGCCTTCTTGAGTGACATCCTCATAGCCAGTGCGAATGCCCTGCCGGATCTGGTCCAGAAGGTCGCGATGGAGCTCGAGGACCAAGTTGGCACCCAACTCCTCTTCGGAAGAAGCCGGCCGTAATTGTTCCGCTGAAACTTTCCAAAGTCGGCCTCTCATGTTGACCCACCAAGAGTTGCCTCCTGGAGTCATGGCAATGAGCGCGCCTGGCCCGATCCATCCGTAGCGGTTGTCAGTCTTCCTCCAGACGTACGCCCATTGACCTGGCTGGAAGCTAAAGGAGTGAAGGTCGGATTTCCTCGTCTGGGCCGCGGCTGCACGGTGCACTGAGGTAATGTCATCCTCTTTGATCCATGCCACTCGAGACGCATCTCTGATGGCCCACGTCCTTTGCACCATATCTCCAGCCGCCGCCTGAACCATGTCCTGGTCCCAGCGGTCTGTTGCCATCAATGACCCAGGGAGCCGTAGAGATCGCCCAAACAGGCGTTGATTCGGAGAATAGCCATGCCGATCAAACAAGCTGTTGTGAGCTGACACCACCTGGGCAATGACCATGTCCAGCTCCTCCTCAGTGGCCGACACCTCCTTGAGCACAGTTTTGAGCTTCTGCTTAACAGTCCCAACGGCCCGTTCCGCACGTCCATTCTTCCATGGTGAAGCGACATCCGTGAAGTGAATCGCCGTACCCATCTGGGACATAAACTCCACGAACTGCTCGCCTGAGAACTCGGGCCCTTGGTCACATATTAGCAGTTCCGGAACACCAAAGGGAGAAATCCAAAACTTGCTCAAGCACTGCCTCACCGTGATCGCTCTTGCATCACTGCACCTTGTCACCTGGAGGTAGCCGGTGCCATAGTCGAGGCATAGTAGAAAGATTTTCTCAGCACCGAAAAGGTTCATGTAGAAGAGGTCGATGGCCACTATGGCGTTGAACTCCAAAGCCTTTGCAAGGTGAGCTGGCCGAGCGGGAAGCGAGTGTTTGGAGGCTTCGCACAAAGGACATGAAAAGAACTCCTTCACCCACTGCAGCACATCATCTCTCACCCCGGAATGCCGCAAAGCCCTCAGGAAGACGTCCTTCGCCGGGTGATTCAGATTCCTGTGCACCTTGAACAGTTCACGTCTCAAGTGGGGGTGGAGTGAGAAACGTCCAGTCTCTTCGTGCTTTCGAAAATCATCCACCCGCTCCATGGCCTTCACCACATCGGTGTTTTCTGTTACTGGTCGCAGACTGCCTTGAACTTCTCTCATCACCTCGTCATCCGCCTGGTCCATGTCCATAGGCGGCTGCACCGGAAAATTGAAATGTCTTCGCGAAGTTGAAGAAAACGCACGCTTTGCATCCTCACCTCCCAAAGAAGAAGAAGCAACCGAAGCGAGGACCATGGCCGCCGTCTGGTTCCGAACGGCCAAAAGAAGACCGTCAAAGGCGGCCCGATGCTTATCTGCACACGCACGCACCGCCTGAAGCATAGGTTGCTCATTCCCATCCAAGGCACGTGCGTAGCAGAGACAATGAAGAAACGCCCGGGTGCAGAGGTCCAGGTCGTCGGGGTCCGCAGAACCCCAGTTGCCAGACAGCCAGTCGAGGCTCTCAAAGATGCGCACCAAAGTCTTGTCGTTCGTGACGAAATGTAGCTTTGGGCCCCCGGGAACCAAAGAGATGGGCACTGCTGTAGCCAGTGGAAGTTGTCGCAGCAACCCCTTTATGGCCTTGGGGATGCAGATCAGAGCGTAAAGACGGCCCTGTGCATCCTGCTCACGCGCTGCTGCAACAAAGGTATCCCGGCTGCACCCCGTCACGAACCCTGCAGCGAAAGCTGGACAGCACTCTTTGATGGCTTCGACTGCCCGATTCCGATCGTGTCTCTGCCGGAAATCCCAAGCATATAGGAAACTGAGAACACGACCACCGTAGGGACCTTTGTCATGGAGCCTGCCGTCCTGGATCTCGGTCACCACTGGCAGCGCCCAGTCTATTGGTGTAGAAGAGACCCTCGGTGGTGTATATGGTTGTTTTCCGACCTGATGCCGAGAAGTGGTAGTAGATGCCGTCGTGGAAAAGTTTCCAGAGCCTGCGTGCTGGTTGTTCTGAGCCCTCAGTGGTGTATATGGTTGTTTTCCGAGCTGATGCCGAGAAGTGGTAGTAGTAGATGCCGTGGTGGGCTTTCCGCACATAGCCTTTGCCCCATCTTCAGTGGTCTTGTTCAGCTCTGTCATGACGAAGACTCTCATTGGTCGGGGCAAAGTGCACACCGAACTGCAGAAGAAGGAACCCAAGAAAACGTCACTGTACTCTCGCCCTGGTGTCCGAAAAAGAACAAAATGAAAACCGCCAGACTGCCCACCCGGTTCATATCCAGCCTCCAGCCGGTCGAAAGGCAACTTCGAAATTGGCGAAGCAGCCAAGGGTGGCGTCTGTCCAAAAGTCGACAGGAGAATTGCGAGACCACAGAAAAGGTGATAGCCTCGACGTGCCATGGATTGCTGCACCAGCAGAGGTGCGCTCTCCAGCATGGTGAAAGTCGTGGTGCTCGTAGTGCAATTTGACGTTGGATTCTCAGAGGCGGGGACGTCCTTCACAAGTCGTCGCCCTCCGGATTCTCGACCATCGCAAAGGAGTTTGGCGTCTTGTCCGGGCTGGAGTCCTGATCGCTGTCGTGGATCGAGTACAGCTCCGTCGGACCCTCGCGGAGGTGGACCTGACGTCGGCGCGTTCTCTCCTGAGTGGGAACAACTCCTGCCGGCAAACTCTTGGAGACATTGGACCCTCGGTTCGACCCTCCGCCTCGGGCTGGTAGTCCGCCCACTCCCTTGGAGCGGATGCCATCATGCGTCGTGCGTCCACCCTCTCCAGATCTCGGACCGGAGACCCTGGCTGGAAAAGCGCCAGTGCCCTCGTCGAATGACACCCGCTTGTCTGCCCTTCGGTCGTGATCTGGTAATCGGGCTCGTTCGTGAACATGGCGTCCGGGTAGCCCGCGGCCTCCGGCACCTTCGTCACTCCGAACTTCGGGTGGATCGCCGGCTCCTGGTAGGACGCGGCCGCCGATCTCCATGCGGTTCTCCCCGTCCGTGCCGTAGTGCTCGGTGCCGCCTCCGTTGGCGTTGCAGCTGGAGCCATTCGAGCCTGCTCCAGAGTGATCGTGCCGAGGTCGGTCCGGGACCTTGGTGGTGGCAGAAGCTTGGGTGGAGCCGTCGAGCGATACACCGGACGAACCTGAGCAGGGAGAGCACCTTGACCCGGTACCGTCATGGCCGCCTCGGTCCTCTCCCATCTGCTTCCACAGTTCAGGCACACCCACCAGTGCTTGGCTTGGTTGCCCCTCATGCGCAACTGGTCCTCGGGGTGCCGACAGTCCTCCGGCTCCTGTGGCCATTGCTTCTGCGTCTGGCTTCGGGCCAGTTGGTGCCCAATGCCCTGCTTCATCGGCTTCTTGTCGCGATTGCTCCGAGCCTTGGGCGGTGGCGCCGTTGACGAAGACGCAGAGCTGCCCATCGCCGGTTCCACCGTCAAAGCATCCAGCACCATCTGGTCGCGGGTGGTCACGATCATTCTCAACACGACACGGATCAGCCGTGCCCACATCTTGTGGCACCATTCTGTGCCTCGGCGACGTGGACCTTGTTGCGGTCGCTCCGTGAGCTCTCCTTGCACAAGCTCTCGCACTCGCCGCTGCATGGCACGATGTGGCGACGAAAACCCGAGCGGCACCGGAAAGCATAGAGGAATCCCTGCTTCGATCTCGGGCCCACGCCATAAAGAACGCAGATCGTTGAGGAACATGCCGCTGGGCACCACTTTGCAAGGCCGCAATCAACTTGTTGCCCTTCTCACGAACACGCTGCCATGCATGATTAGGATGGTGGCTCGAAACCGGCAAAGTCGGAGAAACGTCCACTGCCTCCCCAACTGAAGAAAACACACCCTCCAAATCATGCTCAGCACTGTCCAACACGTAGTGCTGGGGCGCCTGGCCCACCGACGGTGAAGCCACAGTCGCTGAAGAGGCCTGGCCAGACAAAGGCAAACAAGCTGGTGGCGCCGAAACTGCGTCCGCAACCTGTGAAGTGGAGGCAGAAGCTACCTGTTGAAACACCACAGTACCCGTCCAGGGAGCATCCAGTTTACGCGAGCCCAAACTACCATGCCATACATCGTTGATCACATAGGGCACATGGTCGGGCAAGGCATCGAGGAAGGTCACTCGCGTAGGGTCCAGGTAAGGCAGCATTTCAGAAGGCATGCACTCCGAGGGAACTACCAAACTAGTGCGCGGGCCATCTAGAACACAAAGCTTTTGCAGGTCACCACAAGGATGTCGCAGCCAAACGGTGACGCCCCGGTGTTTTTGAACTGGTCCGGTCTGCGGAGAAGCCTTGGTCGGCCGAGGCATCTGAAATGGGTCTTTGCCCCCGTGCTGCAGCTCTCGTGGTAACTGCCATCGACCATTGAACTCCACGACCGAAATGGCTCTGTGCCCAGATGGCAGCCGCTGCATAGGTGCTGCCCGGCCTTGCCGAGTCCGCACTTCCTCTTTGTCATAGTCGATGACCATGCCCACGAGCTCCTGGTACGACACCGGAAGCAACAACGGTGTCTCAAAGCCTTCGGTGTCCTGGACTTCCGTCACCCGCAGCAAGCCGTTGGTTTGACAAACGCCAATCGGTACATCCCAGATGTTCACAATCCGAGCTGAGCCGCCGATCCCGGCGCAGGTGCCGGTGGGACCTTTCACTGGAACAGGCCTGAGCCCTTGGCGCTGCAAGGTGTCCCGCAGCCGCGAGAAGGCCTCGCTGCCGATCACCGCCTCCTCGGCTGCACTGTCCACCAAGCCCTGTCCAGATCCCGTGCGCACTCCAGCAAAGATGCTTATGATGCGGGCAGAAGGAGGGCGCCGCGCCACGTTCATGAACGTTCTATTCAGAGCGCCCTGGCCTTGACTGACAACGAAGTTGTTCCGGCCGTCAGCTGACTGCACCTGGTTGTTGTTCGGGCAGTCCCTGCTGAAATGGCCAAGCTCACCACAGCCGTAGCAAAGAGTTCGTGCAAGAAGGTCTTCGGCTGTCCCGCGGTTGTAGCCACAGCCTTTGCCTTTGAAAGAACGGTTGCCGCCCTTTCCACGGCCTTTGCCGAAACGCCCAGGAGCGGTTCGCTGCTTGGTCTTTCCTTTGCCCTTGCCCTTGTGCTCACTCGGCTTGTAGAACTGTCTGCCTTTTCTGCGAGCTTGGAGCTCTTTCCGAACATCCTGATAGGCAGGGTACGCGGTAGCTTCCGAGCCTTGAAACTCAGTCTGCAGCTGATGGTAGGCGTCGTTATAGGCCCATATATACAAAGCCTCCTCCTCGTCGTACTCGCGGTCGGCCTCGTAGTACAACAGGAGCTCGCCGTGCTCATCAACCTCCGGCTCCTCGTAGTAGTTGGGGCCGTCCGCAAACTCATGCCACTCCTCCTCAAAGGTCTCCATGTTGTTTTGACCATCAGGAGGATACTGGTGCGGTGGCTCAGGCTCCTCTTCGTTGGTCCAGTAGTTCATCATTTGGTCCGACGAAGCAAGGAGGTTCGAGGAGGCCATAGGCTTCATGAGAGCCTCGGGTCGATCCAGAGGTCGAAGTGCTCGTGCCACCTCGTCAAAGGTCAACAAGGCGTTGTGCTTAATAGCCATGGCCTCCCGCTGAGCCTCAGTGAGATTAGCTTGGCGCATCAAGATTCGCCCCGCAATCTTCGCAGGTATGGCTTCACCGGCCAAGCTTTCCACCTCTTGTCTCGCCAGTTCTTTTGCCGCGATAAAAGCGGCGAATGTTTCATTCCGAGATCGCTCGCCCTGGAAGAAGAAGGTGTCGATAGCGGTAGGTGCCGCTGCTTCCAAGAAGGGCCGGAACTTGTCCAGCACGGCCGTCAAGATGGCACCATAGCCGCCTTCGCCAAGGATCACCTCCATGGGCAAACCCTCCGCTATGCGGCGCGGAACGCTTCCCTCGGGAAACGACTGAAACAGCTTGACTCCCCAGCGCTTCCTCGGTATCTGATTGTCAATCTCCCAAAAGCTAAGCTGCCGTAGCCAAGCTCTCAAGGTCGCGGTGCTTCCCGACCAGGACGGGCAAACCTTTCTCTCACCTGAAACAGCCATCGTCAAAGCTTTTACTATAGCATCACTCGTCTCCATTCCAAGAGCACCACTCTCTGCAGGCGCCTTTCGGCCAAGCAACTCAAAGGCACTCTGAACCCCTTTGGGGCTTTCCCCTGTCGAAGAGCCACCGGGTAGCCCGGGAGCTCCCAAAGCGTTAGCCAAACTGCCAGCAAGGCTGGCTCCAGGAACTGCAGCTGCTGCTTGGCCTCCAGAAGAGCTTGCCTCGCCTTCTACGTTCGTAGACAAAGACGCGGCCGCCTTGGGTGCAGGAGTGCCCAGCAACGGCTGTCCAGAAGCTAGCGGAGAAACTGGGCTCATCGGTGCCGCGTTGGCACCCGGTCGCAGGCCCGCCTGACTCGGTCTGCCAGTCGCGAAAGCCACTGGTCCCGGAGGCAGGCCGGGCACCCCAAGACCATAGCCTTTCCCTTGCCAGGCGCCCATAAAGGAACCTGGGGGTCCGTACATGGCCTCGGGCTGGAGCTCACCGGCTCCGCTGCCACTGTAAAGTGACAGGCTGGAACTTCAATCTCACGCTCTCACAATTGCAACGCACATCCAGCCATCGGATTCTTTTCACTGCGCGCCTAATGGACTCAAGCAGCGGCAGGACTCGCTGAGATCAGTGCACATCAGGAAAGCCGCAAGATTACATGTCGTGTTTCACACAGCGGGCCAGCGAGCGCTCGTACTTGGGCAAGCGAGGACTCAAGATCCATGTAAATGGAGGAGCGTAGACAGAATGGTTTCCGCGTCAAGCCCAGCTTCGGTCAGGTGCTAGGCTACATAGCCGAGGGCGAACCCCTCGACATCCCCTTGCCAAACCGCAAGGCGAGCATCTATACCGCTTCGCATTACTTTCTAGATGATTACCCCAATGCGCCGGAGCCCATCTCCGACGCGCCGATGCCGCACACCACAATCAATCCGGCGGCTGCTTTCGAAACCGCAGATGAGGGCTACGACGGAGTCCCCTTCCCCCGCCCGCCAAGAGAGTTCACTCGGCCCAGCTTCCTGCCAGACTCCGACGACGGAGGCATGGACCCAGGGCAGGCCCTGCGCAACGACGGGCTCGATGCACCGAGGCCGCCGAGCCTCGGAGGCCGCATGAGGGAGTCTGGCATCCAAGCCGCGGAAGCGATCATCGCCGGAGGGGCTGCGGGCGCCGCGGCGGCGACCCGAAGCGTGGCCGAGAACCAGACCTTCAACATTTTGCGGGGAGGAGGCGATTGGTTGGACAGAACCCTCAGGATCCCCAGGAGGCCGCCGGGACTGGCGCCGCCCCCGGACGAGGTCCCGCCGCCCAACATCATCGGGAGGCCCAGCGAGGTGGAGCCCCTGCTCGAGCGAGCGGGCCAGAGAGCCGCAGAGGTGGAGCGCACGGCGGCTCAAGACATCGAGGCTTTTGCTTCGCAGCAGGTGGCGGAGGCAGAAGCGGCGGAAGGCTTTGCCACGGCGGCGGGCTGCGGCGGGCGCTGCCGAAGCAGCAACTGCGGCGGAAGCGGGCGGAGGAGCTCTTGCGCTCCTGGGCGAGGGAGCCCTCGCAGCTGCGGGCACGGTGGGCGCTGCGGCGGGAGGCCTGGCCGTTGCGGGCGCAGGCGCAGCGCTCGTGGGAACGGCCTGGGCCATCGAGGGCGGGCTCAACGCGGCTTCGCACATGATGGGCTGGGGAGCCGACGGCTCAGGCTCAGCCGGAGGCTTCGCAGCCACGGGCGGCGGCACGGACTCAGACGCCTCGCGGCCGAGCCAAACCACGGACCTTGCGACCCTGAACGGCATGCAGGAGTCGGGCGCCGTCGACCACTACTTCATCCAGGAGCAGCGCCGGCAGCAGCCCGCGCGGCGACCCCGCGGCCCCAGCCGCAGCAACGCATCGTCGCACGACCGGCGCGCCGCCCCAGGGCCCAGGCCCAAACCCCTTTTGGCCTCAACAACATCCCGATCCCAGTGTCGTCCGGCTCGGACCGCTCCCGCGTCAGCCGCCAGTCCCGCGGCGACCGCGGGCCTTTGGGCACCCAGCCGTCCTTCGACGCCCTTCGTCAGGCGAGCGAACCGGAAGCTGCATAGGTATGTAAAGAGTGATGGAGCAGGTTACGCAAGCCGTCAATGACGAATTGGTGGCCTCGCTCGACTACAAGCTCCAGACGGGGAACACCAACTACATTCAGTCACGCAAGTCCGTGCAGTTCTTTCCGAGCTCCCTGAGCACCTTCACGCCAAGCACCAGCCGCGTATGCCGAATACCAATCACGCCAGGAATGGACTTTGTTGATCCTGAATCGATTAAGCTGGCCTTCACCTTCCGCAACACGGACGGCTCCAGCGACATGCTCTGCGGCTCGCCGGACCCCTCGTGTTTCATCGAGAGGATGCAACTCTTCGCCAACGGGCAACGGGTGGAAGACATCAGCTACTACGGGCGCAGTTGCTTCATGTATTCGCTACTGAAGCCGTCCGACTGGTGGACGGAGCTGCACTGGGAGGGCCTCCCGGTGGACGCCGGCGGCTGGGCGCAGCCGGTGCAGCCAGGGCAAAAGCGCGATGTGCTCATGCACCCGCATCTTCTTGGCATGTTCAACTGCGGCAAGATGCTCCCGCCGCAGCTAAATCTCGTCCTGGAGATCGAGTTCGCCGAGCCCGAGCAGGCCATGCGCGCCGGCGTGGGCTCGAGTCTGTCGTATCAGATCGAAAATGTGCACCTTTTGGCCGATCAGGTGACCCTTGATAGTGCCCTCCGGGAGAGCTTCGAGCGTATATTACTGTCCAATCGCAGTCTCCTTTTCAGCTTCCCGAGCCTCCACGTGCAGCAGTCCTCGGTCCCGGCGGGCTCCACGAGCTACAATATCACCGTTGCGCGAGCCTTTACCAAGCTTTTGGGAGCCTTTGTGCACTTCAACAAGACCGGCGAGAACCACGTTTCGAACTTTGAATACCCCGGCGAGGCCTTCCCGAACGTCTCGGCGGCCACGGTCATGGAGGGCCAGCTGCAGCTCGGGGCCATGCAATTCCCCAGAAACAGTGTCAAAAGCATCGCCGAATACCACCACTTCCTCGCCATCATGGCCGGCACCTACGATTCAAAGCTACGAAATATGCGCCTCCCGAACTACGATAACACGCACTTCATTGCCGCGTTCCCCACGGAGCGTGTACCCAAGCACCCCACCAGCGGTTTGTCGACAAGGAGCGGCGACCTGTGCCGCTTCACATTCAAGCAAATGCTCGCGGACCGCGTGGATCAGTGCTTCGTTGGCCTCGTATCGCTCCAAATTTGTACTTTGTCGGGCTCCGGGGTATCAGTCCTCGATTAGTGATATGGGCGTTTTGAGCGATTTGTTTCACCTTTTTTGCCCTCTTCGAACACCGCCAGCCTGGACCGGCGGCGCAGAGCCCGGGGGCACTAGATAAATGTCACTCTTTCCCTCCACCCTGACCGGGCGGATCCTCGACGACGGCGTCACGGCACCACCGGTCATCGAGCTCCAGGGCATCTCCGCCGGGCAGCTGGCCACCGTGCTCACGGCTTATACGCCCCAAACGGAAACCGTGGCCAACACCGCGGCCATCGGAGTCAACGCCGCCGCCATCGCAGCTCTACAGGGCCAGGTGGCCGCCCTGCCCGCAGCTCCGGACCTAACCCCTTATGCTCTGGCCGCGGACCTCGCCACGGCAGAGGGTTCCATCGTGGCCAACGCTTCCGGGTTGGTGGCCGTGAACACGAGCCTGACCCAGGGCCTGGCCACCAAGGCCAACCAGTCGGCCCTGGATGCTCTTCAGGTGGAGGTCAATGCCAAGAGCACGCCCGCTTCGGTGGACCTCAAGCTGGCCAACCATCCCACGACGGCTGCGATGAACAGCAGCATCGCCTCCACAAACAACGCAACCTTGGCGACTGTTGCGGCAAACTACGCCCTCAAGTCGGTGGTCGATCAGCTGGCGATCGATCTGGCGGCCCGGCAAACAGCCGCCGACGTGGACCAGCGGGTCGCCACGGCTTTGCTGGCCTACGTCCAGCAGGCGGCTCTGGACGCCGCCCTGGCGCTCAGAGACGGCAGGCTGGACGGCCACGACGCCGACATCTTGGCGCTGCAGAGCGCGGGGCCCTTTGCCCTGCCCAGCGAGATCACGGCGCTGCAGGCATCCATCGATGCCATCTTGGCGGAGATCGCCACGCTCGGCGGAGCCACCAATCTCGTGAACGCTCCGGCCTGGCCCGGCGAGATTACCTGGGACCTGCTGGCCGGGACCAATCAGATCCGCAACTTGCACGCCACGGGGCCGCTGAGCATCCAGCTGGCCAACGACAACTGGACCCTCAGCTTCGCCTGCAACAGTTACAGTCGCGAGGAGACGGACGCCCTGCTGGCACCGCTCGCCAGCGAGGCCTGGGTCAGCAACGAAATTCTGGCCGCCCTGGCCGCCTACAGCACGACGCTGCAGGTGGGCACGGCCATCGCCGACGCCCTGGGAGCCTACAGCAGCACTTCGGAGATGAACACCGCCATCTCCGATGCCATCGCTGCCCTGAACGTCGGGCAGTACCAGGACGCTGCGGGGGTGCAGTTCCTGATCGACCAGGCCCTGTTGGCTTATTGGACCCAAGCCGAGGTCTCGAGCTTCGTGGCGGGAGAGCTGGCCAACTACGCGACGTCTGCCTCCGTCAGCTCAAGCATTTCCTCGGCCCTGTCGAGCTATGACCCCAGCGGGGTCGTCGACAGCAAGATAATAACTGCTCTGCTGGACTTCTACACGCGGGCGGAGGTAGACCAGGAGATAGCCAACGGACGTCCTCGTGAAGGCGGGCGTCTCGCTGGAGGGCTTCGAGGGCCGCGACCTCGGCGGGAAGTTTGGGCTTGTAGCCCTGAGCTCCTGCCGCATTTCGAGTGTGGGGCTCCAGCACATCGTGATCCAGTTTCCGCGGGGGGATAATCTGGGCTTGGGGCCGAGCTGCCTGAGCAACTTCGAGGTTCAGAAGATCCAAGCTTTCGTGCCGGGCAACAAGCGCCAGGCGGAATTGTACGAGGTTGGGTCTCACTGGGCTGCCAAGGACGGCAAGCAGCTCCCGCCCAGCGCCCTCATCCGCGTCCACCTGCCTGTGGCGCTGCTCGAGCAGCTGGAGCTTCCGCCCAAGCAGCCGACGCCGAGGTGTCGACGCACCCAAGCCGAGCCAGCAGCCACGGAGCCCGCGGAACCATCAGCGCCCGCAGAGGCAGCGCCCGCAGAGGCAGCGCCCGCGGAGCAGCCGCCACCGGCGCCACCAGCCCCCAAGCCACCCTCCCCTGAGCCATTAAGCGCGGCTCACCAGCAGCTTCCCGAGATTGACGTCCACGGCGTGCTCTGCTGCCACATAGGGAACGACTACTACGTGGTGAAGGAAGTGGAGAAGATGCTCGACTAAAGGGCGGCGAGCCCTTTCCCGAGCTGGTGGAGATAGTCTTGTTCAT